GACAGCGGTACCTCATCCCTCAGCTTCGATTCTTCTTTGTTCAACTCGATGTACTCAACCTTCTTCACGGCCTTGGCCAGGCTCTGAAGGATGGTGTAGTCTGCCAGCTGCACGTACTCCGAGCCGCACTGCGTGATGAATCCGGTCTCCCAGGATCCCCAACTGTACAGCTCCTGCACCTGGCACAAGTTCTTGTAACCTGGGGGTGAGCTCGGTATGCCCATCACGAAGTCGTCCACGTGTACGAAGATGACCGTCTCAACCTGCCCGTTGCAGTCGTACTTGATCCACAGGCAGGGCTCCAGGGTCATCTCCACATATCCCAGCTTCCTCAGGTCGCTGTCCACCTTGTGATACCACTCCTTCGGGGCATTCACGAGTCCGTAGGCCGCCTTCAGCATCTTTGCGCACTCGTCATCCGACAACTGCATGGCCTCGCGGAGCTCAGGTACCGGCTCCACCAGCAGGTCGCGCTTGGCTTGAGTTGGATCTCCTTGCAGGAAAGCTGCCTTGACGTCGCCCTTGTAGAGCTTGAGTCGCATATTGGCCATCATCTGCAGCGCCAAGTTCCGGCCCCGAGACGAGACGGTGGGGCTCGACTTGTCGATCGTGGCCAGACGCGGGTCCTGGAACCCCAGCAGGATCAGCCTCGCTTTTACCTTGCCGTCGTCCTTCATGATCAGGTGCCACCTCATCTTCATAGGTTTCACCCCGGCTTTCCGGAGAGCCGCCTGGCACACCTCGTTGTGCATCCAGTTGTTCACCTCCACGAGCTTGGCGTTGCCCACCAAGGCCTTCACCTCTGGGGTCGCTTTCCGCAAGTTGATCTCGACCTGGCCCTTCTTGACTGCTTTCTTCAGCGTCTGCTTCGGCTTCTCGCTGAACGCCGCCAGCGCGTCGCCCTCCATGATGAACTCGGCCAGGTAGATGTCTCTGTCCTCCGTCATATTGGAGAAGATCTCCGCCACCCCGAGCTCCTCAGCCGTCCTTGCCTTCTTCTCGGGGGGTGCCTCTGATGGCGGAGTCGGTGCTGTCCTGCTCGCCACGCCGCGCTGGATTGATATTGGTACATCATCCAGGAGAGGGTTCTTTCCCACTCGATACTCGGTGGAAGCCGGCCTTGCGGGTGCTGGCGCTGCTGCCGGAGGTGGTGTCGATGATGATGCTCGAGATTCTGGAGTCTCCTCTTGCTCGGGCTCTGAGTCGGGGGCCTCCACGATGCGGCGCAGTGCCTCTTCAGCGCTCATGTCCTCCTCCCCGGGGGGCTGCTGATCTCCTTCAGGCCCTTCGAAGTCCTCGCTCGAGATCTCATCGACCCCGGGCATGGCCTCATCCTCTGCTGGATCTTCGGGCACCGCATCCTCGTCGGCTCTCTCTGGTTCGGGATCTCCTTCAGGCTCGTCAGCTGAGACCTGACGCTCAGCACGATCATGATCTACTCCCTCGGGCGGTCTCTGATGGCTTAAGTCCCAGTACCTCGCACCGATGTCCATGGCCTCCGTAAGGGGCTGTCTCTCAATGGGCTTCGCTTTCTGAAGGATCTCATGTAATGCCTTCTCGTGCTCCGACGCGGGACGAAGCTGCTGGGGCGTGGTCAGGATCAACTGATTGTGGTGGTACACCAGCACCAGGTTGCGGGGGGTCGCCTCGCCCTTCTCGTGACGGAAGAACTGGTTAACCACGAGGGCAGGTCCGATGAACTCGCCCTTGGACTTTTTCAGCTTATCCTTCCTGCTGCCAGGCTCCACCCAGTAGAATACGAGCTCGCCCGTCTCCCACGTCCTGAACTTCCTCGTCTTGGAAAGTGCAGCCAGTCGAGCTTGTCGATCTGCGAGAGCCTCGGCGAAAGCTTTCCTGGCCTGCATGCGCCTCTTCATCATCAGCTCCGCGCTGGTGCCTCTTTCCGCCTCAGCTTGGAGCTGCACAACTGTGCCCGTCAGCTGGGAGTCGAGGGGACGCAGCTGCCTGCCGAAAATCACCTGGTCGGGTGAGGCTCCGGATACCCGGAACATCTCCGCGTGGGCGGCCGCCGCCCAGCTGAACAGCTCTTGAATCGGGCACTCCGGGTCCATGATGGCCATCCTCGTGGCTGCCACCTTGAGCAAGTTAATGGTCACCTCCACGCGCCCGTGCTTCCAGTGTGCCTCGGCGGGTCCAACCTCCCAGTGAATCCCATGCTCTGAGGCCGTCTCGTTGAGCTTCTTGGCTCTGTAGGCTCCGGCTGGGTCAGTCCTTATTTGCAGAGGACGACCGAAGTACCGAGCCCAGCAATTCACGAAGGTATCCCACACCGTCACCGACGATGTCTCGCCCGTGTTCCCTTTGTTCGGCACGGTGGTGTGGATCACTGGCACGGCCTTAGCTGAGCCCTCGTCGACCATCATCGTACCTCGAGCTCTAGTCTCGGTGACGGGGTGGATCCAGTCGAAGCCGTCCATCTGGAGCACGTCCAAGGGTTCCGCCTCGCGACCGGCTGCCACGGGCATCGGCTCCCGACGAGCCGTTGCCTCACAGATGCTGCACTTCAGCTTGCCGGCCAGTGTGATAACCCAGGGCTGAGCTCCCTTTCGAGTGAGGTAGGCGCGCATGGCATTGAGGCCCATGTGGTTCATGTTGACGTGGATGCTCATGAGCTCCTTCTTGACCAGGTCGATCACCTTCGGATCTATCTTCGTGAGGTCGTCCTCATTAGCTGTCGTCTGGTTCAGCTCCTCCTCGTCGGTCGCGAATGCTCTCTGCACCTCGAAGTAGTCCTGGGCATCTTCCTCCATGATGGTCGCAGCCCACTTTCGACACATCGCTATCGGATATCTGGCTGTCTTCCCGACGTCAGCGAGGCCAGTCTCGATCACGGTGTGCTCGTGGTCACGCGTACACCTCCTCCGAAGTCGGTCGGCGAGCTTCTGGTTGGTGGTGATAATCCTCCAGCCCTTGCGAACCAGCTCTCCGGTCACGTCGCTCCTCATACCCCAGCCGCATCCATAGCTGATAGTCTCGTACAGCTGCTGCCACACGTCGAACAGCTCCGAGATACTTCTCCAGGAGCTCGCGGTGAGGGGATGCTCCACTGAAATCTCGGTGCCGAACTCCTGCCAAGCGTAGATCAGCACCTCCAGGACGTTCCTCATGACTCTGCGACCCCACTTCCTGACCTTCATCAGCTTCTCCTGGGACTCGATGGTGTTGGGCCTTCCGTTTTGTAGTGCTGAGAACGGTGAGCACGGAGGGGAGGCGTGGGCCCAGCGGGGTCTCTCCTTGCTGATGAGTTCTTTCGCCTTGAGCACCGATGCCTTCTTGGAGAAGTCGAAGAGGTTGAACAAGCCCATCCTCGTGACCACTCCTCCCATCTTCTCCACCTGACTGCCCAGCGAGCTGTCCGGTGGGACACAGATCTCCAGCAGGTCGGTTCGGCCTTCTCGGGCCATGGCAGACAACTTCCGGATCCCTTGATGGTCGAGCTTCGCGGCCGCCTGCAGCACCTTGTGTCTCACTCGCTGAGGTAGCTGACCTACCACTCGTAGCTTATCTCCCGCCAGCTCCACCTGCCGATGTGGGCTCCAAAGCCCTTCGCCTCCGTGAACTTCTTGGGGCACCCGTTCTTTGCGTACTTCAGCAACTGAGCCTGTTGGGACCATCGCTTGCGGCACTGGATCCTCAACACGAGCCGCTGCCACCGATTGCGTCCAGCCTGCTCCATGGTCTTCGACGGTTGGTCTGGGTCCTCCGGCTTGCTGGCTGACGTCTTGGTGTTCCGATTCTTGCCCGAGGGGAGCTTCTTGAGGAAAGGAGTCGTTGGCTCTGGTCGTGGAGCGGGTGTCCCCTTGCTCTCTGGGGGTCCCACTGGATGGACCTCCGAGGGCTTCGGATCCGACTGTCCTGATCCTCGCGGCTTGGTTCTCGGTACCGTCGGCAGCTCCCTGACCTCGGCGTCCACCTGCAGGCTGCGACCCTGATCCTTGGCCCAGGTGGTCTCCGCCTCGGCGAGGAGGTACTTCCAGGACGTGGGTAGCGTTCCTGCCCTTGCTCGACGAGCCGTCTCCGCGAGCAGGCCGTCCTTGGCCGCCTGTCTGGCTGCCTGATCCCTCAGTTCCTCCTTCGTGTCCGGGTCGGTCACGGCGAACAGCTCCAGCGCCTGCCCCCTCAGGTCCTCGTAGAACTGGATCGGGCCTGCCTCCGTCGCAGGCGCAGCCGACGGCGAGGGCGGCACTGAGGAGGGAGAGCCCTCCTCTACGTTGGGCGGTCCCACCATGTCCCACTCGAACTCTTCGTCCGAGATCTCGACCTCTGATGATACCCATGGCCCCTGCGGACTGCACATGAATATCTTCCTTGCTGAAATCACGAAAGCTCCTCCCGGAGCAGCTGCTTGGCGAAAATGGCTTCGGAGGCGGTGGACATATGTCTGGCATGTGCTGCTCCGTGTTCTCATGGCGTGCTGCAAATACGTGTGCGTAACATCGCCTGTCTGGTGCATGCTGTGGCCGAACTCTATGACATGATCCATCTCGTGCATGCTGTAACCGTACATGTTGACATGCCCTAACTCGTGCCTGTGGTAGCCGTACTGCATGACATGACCTATCTCGTACATGTGGTAGCCGTACTCCATGACATGGCCTATCTCGTAAGTGTGGTAGCCGTACTTCATGAAGTGCAGTGTCTCGTGCATGTGTGGCCTGGGTCCTCACCTTGGGCTCCCTGGAGGTCCCCATACTGAGGCTTTTCGTTTTCTGCACGCTGTTTGCTTCTTTGTGTTGGAGAATTGCAGTGGTTTTTGAATTAATGAGCGTGATCTTCATGTTATCCTGACTCTGGTCTTTCCAGGAGACTCGGGGCGATCGATGATCGATGGGAGAACAAACTTGACAACTTCTCTCTTTTCCCAATCCTTCGGCGTTGTCTCGGCCTCCGGCTGGGCACCCTCAAAGGACGGGCAGTGCGTAGTGGGAGCTGGACAGCTTCACCACTGGCTCCTCGTGGCCGTCGGGGTAGACGAGCGCCAACCTGTCCTTGGCCAGGTCAGCACCAGACTTCTCGAGGTAGTCGAGGCCGAGCAGCATCGGGGACTTGGTTTCCACGAGGTCGAACCACAGCTTATTATCGTCCTCCACGAGCGCCACCGGATGCTCGAACCCGAACTTCCCGATGGACTGGCCCTTTTCGCCGCCCGCGTAGGTGAACTTCGTCGTCTTGCTGTAGTCCATCGTGACCTGGTCGCTGCCCGTCTCCTCCAAGATCGTGTCCTGAATCGCCATGGCGAGGTCCAGGCCGATCATGCTCTTGGAGGCCCCGGTGTCAATAATCGCGTAGCCGACCATCTCCTCGTGTACCCAGCCCGCCTGGCCATCCTGCGGCGGGATGCCCTCGTTGCTGTGGTTCGTCTCGTCGGTCTCGACGTCCACGAAACCGACCTGCCCGGTGGCCATCTGCATGTTGTTGCCGTCGACTCCGGTGCTTAGCCGCTTCGGGCAGTCCACCGCGCGGTGCGGGCCCTGGCATATCAGGCACTTGATCCCACGGCCCTTGCCCTTGCCAGTCGGACGGCGGCTCCCTGGTTGTGGTGGTGGAGGAGCACGGCGCTCCCCTCCCTGTGGGCCTGGGGGCTTGGTGGGCCGCAGGGCCGCCTTCGCCGTCGCCGCCGCCTTCTGCGTGTCGCGCTGCTGCTTCTCAGGGAGCTGCCCGATCCCGACCACCGGGAAGTAGCCGCTCCTGTTCTTGGCCGCCTCCGCCAGCATCTTCTTCGCCTCCGTGAAGGTACGGTGGGCGTCCTGCGCATACACCTCTGCGTCCTCCGCGTATGCTTCCAGCTCCTCGATCTGCTCTTCGGCGGCGGCCTCCTCCTCGTAATTGACGTCCTCCTCGTCGGGCTCGTTACTACCCTCGAAGTAGACCTCGTCCTCGTCCTCGTCCTCCTGGTAGTGGATCTTCGAACGATCGCGACGATTGTCACGGGTGCTCTGGATCCTCAGGTCCCTGCGCCTCGCCAGTATGTTGTCCCTCGCTGCCAGGTCCTTGTCCGACCATACATTTTTCAGCTTGTCGATCACCGATTCGATGGACCAGTCGCTGAGGCCCGCCACCACAGTGGCTCGCTCGCTCGGGTCGAGGCCCGCATTCACGAGGAAGATGATCCCGCGCAGCTCGTCGGGGATCAGGTCGATCGCGTCGATGTCCGGACATATAGCCCGGACGCTCTTCTCCATCTCCTGGTAGGCATCTTCTTCCTGCTCCGCGTAGAGGCCGATTGTCTGCCCAAGCTTTCTTATTCTCGGGCCTGACGTTTTCCGATCGTAATAGTAAGCGAACACTTTGTCCACTACATCGCTTGATGCTTGCTTCCCCAAACTCTTCTGGAAGGCCTTCAATAGGTTCTCCGGGCCTTTTTCTCCCACGATCGTGTCTGGTGTGTCCTCCGTCCGCGGCAGACGCAGGGCCAGCTTCCTGTGCGCGGTGTTCTTCGGGAGAGCCTGCACCAGCCGGGGTCCCAGCAGCTTCCTGTCGTCCTCCTTGGTCGCCAGGGTGAGCAGCTCCACCTCCGCTTGGTATTCGTCCAGGGTCTCCGCTTTGCCATCCCACGTCGGAATCCTCTGGATCTCGACGCCTTGGCCAGTGCTCGATGATGCCATATTGAGAGCGTTGAGTCCAGATAAACACTTCAACCAAGCTCCGCACTACCAATGATTTATCGCCTCGTCGAGGTTAACTCGAAGAGAAGTTGCTGAAATAGTAAGATGATATCAGTAATCAACTTCCACTGTGTAGGATAGGAAGAGTGTATCTTTCCTCGGGGCAGGATGCCTGGGGCTCGATCACGAGCCAAGTCAAACACACAGTTCGATATGGAAACCGCGCACAGAAAGCTCGAGCACTGAATATGAGTACAGAAATCCACATGCCAACTTCGGTTAGCGTTCTAGACAAAAACCTGATTTCTACGAGAGAGGGCCAGGCTGGCGGGGCTGTGAGCGGGCCCTGGGCGCTGTCGACCCGCGCTTGGCCAAGGCCTCCCGGCGGGCCTGCCTGGCCTTGCGCACCGCGGGGCCAGGGGCGTCGCGCCCGCAGAAGCACACCACTCTGTTGGCCCAGAGCCCCTCCTGGCGGCATCCTGGGCAGCGCCAGTGGGGCTCCTTGGGCCCCAGGAGCACCTTGCGGCCAGCAGCGTCAGCGGCACCAGCAGCTGCAGCAGGCGGCGGCATGGCCACGGGCTGCGCCTCGACGTGCTCGCCGTGGTGCCCAGCCAGCGTCTGGCGCGCAGCGGCCTGGCGCAGGGTGGCCCGCGCGCTAGCCCGCTTCCTCCGCAGCCTGCGGTGCCACGCGGGCGATCGCGAGCGGCTATGGCGCCGCCCGAGCGCCGGGATGGTGCACCGCCGCCCTTGGCAGGGCCAACGGCGTCTGGGGGTTCGCGGAAAGCGGGCCGATCCCCAAAGGCCCGCGCTCGCTGAGCCACCTGAGGAGGAGGGGGAGGAGGAGGAGGAGGAGGAGGAGGAGGAGGAGGAGGAGGATGGGGGAGGTGTTAACATGCAAGCATGCGTGTGACAGGGGAGGAATAGTAACCCCGCTGCCTTTGGCTCAAGTGTTTAACGGTCGAAGTCACATCGACCAGCTGCGCAGTCCGGGAGTATAAAGGTGACCTATCGTTATCATTGTCGCCAAGCTCCCGCGCAGAACCCTCCTCGGGGTTTTGCATGGTAGCGGAGCGCGGTTGCCATGGCAGCGGCAGCGGCAGCTGCGGCCAGACCTGGACAGGGCGACCCGCCAGTTAATCTCAATGTGCCGGCAGATAGAGATGCTTGGGTCAACGTGGATCCGAGCCGATTCAACGACCTGTGCGAGCAAGCATACGTGAACGGAGACTTCAGTTACGTTCAAACGGCGCTACTCGCAAACCACTTTGGGCTTGCAACGTTCATTAACGAGCGAGTAGCACAGGACCGAAGGGAGGTATCGAACGCCGAAGCATTCCAAATGTTACAAAGTGCCCACAAGACCAACAGTATGCTGTTAGCGATCACGAAGAGAAATGCTGCGCTCGAAAGAGATGCTCGCAGATTAGTGGAAAGGGTCACCGAGTTGGAGACTAACAGTGAAGTACAAGAAAAGTTGATCGAAAGGTTCGGTCAGATCTCGGAAGCAATCAAAGGAGGAAGCGGAAACAAGCACGGGAGCAGTAAACCGATAAGCGAATATAAAGCGTTACAGGCGCTAAAGAACTTCAGTGGGGAAAGGGCGAAGTTCAGAGACTGGAACGACAAATTCTTGAACGCACTAGCCCAAGTGAAGCCGAGTTACCGACCGGCACTGAAAATGCTAAACAAGAAGCTGGAGACGCTTGACGGAGTTGTACCAGAAGAGGACGATGATGACATCATACGCATAATGAACGGTCGATTAACTGCAAGCGAGTACCTGAAGGCAAGTCAAGCCAAGCAAGCCGAGGACGACAACAAAGGCGAATATGAGTTTACCGAAGGAGACAAGACTCAGATGGAAGAAGACTTATGGTACATTCTGAACGAGAAACTTGAAGGTGCGGAGGCCAGAGGAAAATTAAAGGGACTGATGGATGGAGACGGAATCATGGCTTGGCAAAAGGTTTACAAATGGTACTCGGCAGTGACCGGAGCGACCTTATCATCAAAAATGACGCATGCCATGAATCCTGAACCGCCCAAGAAGATCACCGACACCGTTACCCGACTTGAGGAATGGAGCGCATTGGCAGAACATCTTGAGAAATATGGCAAAGATTACTCGCTGCCTCTTCCTTTCAAAGTCACCGCGCTCAGTGCCATAATGGTACACGCGAATGACTGGTTTGACGAATGGCAGCAGGCATGTTGGCGAACGCCTGACGCGCTTAACATTGACTCATTTCAGAAATTGCACTCAAAGTGTGAAGACTGGGCGCGCAAAAAGAAACTTGACTCGGATACAAAAAATAAGGATGCAATGGACATTGGAAATATCAACGAGATGAGTCAAGGATCCGAAAACGTTTGGGACCAAACAGGATGGGTTGACGAAGATGGAAACTGGTGGTCAGAGGATGGATCGTGGAATCATGGGTCCTGGGCCAATGAAAGTGACGGGGGAGAATATGAAGAAATTGACGCCGCAAACAGAGGTAGGGGCAAAGGAATGGGCCCCAGGTGTTACAATTGTGGAGGCATGGGCCATTTAGCCAGGAACTGCACGAGGCCCAAGCAGTTCACCAAAGGAGGTAAAGGTGGCAAAGGCGGAAAAGGCAAAGGTTACCGAGCCACTTACGGATCCTATGTGAAAGGTAAGATCGGAGGCAAACAAGGAGGTAAAGGAAGTAGCTCGTGGGGAGGAAACTACGGAAGCCAAGGGAAATTTACCCCGCACAGTGAGCGTGAATGTTACAAGTGTGGCGGAAAAGGGCATATTGCCATTAACTGCCCGGGCTCCAAGAAGACCGCCAACGAAGTTGAGCAAGAGAAGCCTGCAGTAAACACCGAAACTGAACAAACCACCTCGTTCGGTCAACCACAGCACGTTCTCAGCGTCGAGATGAAGGAAGCAATGAACGTGTCGCTAGACCAGACCGCGATCGAGGAGGTTAACGAGAAATGGGACCTGCCCTATTACGCCAGAAAGAAGACGGCGCGTGACAACGCGGTAAACATGAGAAGGATCTATCAGGAACACCAGTACGACGGAGACCGTTACCATACTAGTCAGTGGGATCAAAGAATAAATAAAAGCGTGAGGCAGGAAAAAAGTTGGCTGGCGAAATGCAAGGAAATTGGACTAATTGAGATGCGGGGAGGTGATCCGGAGATTAACGCAGCACCGCCACCAAGTGCAACACATGAGACGATCGTGGTCACCGTGGACTCCGGCGCCTACAACACAGTGGGGCCCCCCAAAGTTGGCACTCATTTCCCCGTTAATCATACGGACGCGTCAAAGCAGGGACGACACTACAGCGCAGCAAATGGAACCACGATAAAGAATTATGGTCAACGCGTGATCACAGGTAAAAATGAGCATGGGAACGCAGTCAGTATGCCAATTCAGGCGGCAGAGGTAAACAAAGTCCTAGGGTCGGTAAGAGAGATGGTAAACGCTGGAAACAGAGTAGTGTTCGACAAGGATCCTAACGGGAAGTCCCTGAGCCACATCATGAACAAAGCGACTGGCAAGTTAACAGCCATCCATGAAAAGAATGGCACATTCCAGTTCAACATCACAGTGCCGAAGGGACCAGCGGAAGCCGTCAATCCCAGGAGTGAAGTGAACGTGACTGAGGGTTTTCCGCGGCCGGGAACCCTGGAGGCGGATCTGTTCTACTAAGCCCCCCGTCACCCGTAAGACCAAGCGAAAACTTAAACGTCTTTAATGCCGAAGTAGACGAAGGGAATGAAAGTGGGGGCAACGACAGTGAGTTAAGTGATGTGGAAGATGTATTTGTGACGATGAGGCAGAGTTACCGAAGAAGATTTACTGTGATATGAGGCCCTCAAAAGAGGAAGTTGAAGCGCATAACACGACGCATTTACCTTAC